AATGAACCAGTAGGTTTAGATAAGTTTAAACTAGTAGTAGGATTCTCCTCCTGCAAAAGTTCTGCCTGACATATGAATATATTTCCAAGATATTTAAATGAATATATAGTTGGATAATAGTAATTAATGTAGCTAGTCTTATAATAATATATATACTAGGTAGTATTAATCTGCAGATTAACTGTAAAGACATAAAAGGTATCTATATATTAATCAATTTCTAATTAATTTATAAAGATACTTGATATCTATCTGAATATATAAATGTATCAATAAAGATTATATATCATGTATACGTTTTACTTTAAAAAAAAAAACAATAATCTAATATATAAAAATATTTAGTATAATAATAGAATATTAACTTATCAATAAAAACCTTATATTCAATACTTTTGATTAATTTAAAAAAAACAATTTTATATAAAAAAAAATTTTTTTTAAGGGCTAAGGTATGATACATGTAAGGGTTTTTATTGTAGATCAGAATATTACAAATAACTATTATATAAACAGTCTTAGCTATCACTAGTTAACTAATAATTTTACACTTATTCTAATCCTGATATCAACTTATACCTCGAGGATAAGTTCATACCTAGGCATAGACTATACATGTTTCCTTATTACTATAAAAGGAAATTTTATTGACAATATGATTTTGAATTAAATATGATTTCCAATTATTTACTAATTTTTACTTAGTAATATGAATATAATATGGTTTTTAAAAAATATCTAAATTAAATACGAACACATGTATAATATGGACTATATATGTTTTTTTATTACTATAAAAGAAAATTGGATTGACAATATGATTTTGATTAAATATGATTTCCAATTACTTACTAATTGTTATTTAATAATATGAACATAATATGGTTTTTGAAAAATATCTGAATTAAATATGAATACATATATAGCATGGACTATACATGTTGCTGAAATTCATAAATCCTTAATGCAATTGATGCAATTATTTGATGCAATTAATTAAGTCACTATTAAAACATATAAATAATTAAGTCATGATGCAATTATTTTTGAGGATTTTTGAAATTGAGTCAACAGCAAAATAATTTATGCCACATGTATAGTTTGCTTGTTTTTGATTTGGCTTTTGATTTGACTAATTATGAATGAATTGATTTATAAGTGCTTAAATTGTTGGTTCTGGAGATGATAAATGCATAGTTAGTTAATTATTCTTTTTAAACTATCAAGAATTTGTTAAAAAATATTTTGATTGTTTTTAACTTCAATTATTAATAAAATTAAGTACTATTGAATAATATTATAAATTATCAAGAAAATATTAATAATAATTTATTTATTTAAATAATTTAATTCAAATATTACTAATCTATTCTGATGTAACACTTGTTACTTTAATAAAAAAGATATTCTTTTTTTAAAAAAGCTTTAAAAAATATGATTATAAGAAGGCATAATTATATAATTACTTTAATTTTAATTAATAGAATTCAATTTCATATTTATCTTTTATATTGTAATTTAACTTATATAATATATATATAGATTTATTAGTAATTTCATAATAATTATTGTTTTTATCATTACCTTCTTGACATAAATTAAAATATCATTTTAATATTTTATTATAAAAATAAGCATGTTTATATGTTAAATTAAATAATACACTTTTGTATTAAATATAAAATTGACAATATAGTTTTGCTCAAGTAGAATTTTTGATTTTATATTTTCAGTTTTACTAATATTATTCAAAATAATTTGAATTTAAAATTTAGTAAACTTTGAAATGAAATTTATATTAAATATTTTGATATTTTTAATCTTGTTAATATCTATCTTTTCAAATAATTTATAAAGCTTTATGGATCTTTAGGTTTTTTTATATTATTAAATCTAAAAATTTAACCTTTTTAAAATAGAAAATTTTACATTAAAAATAGATCAAATATATTAATGCACTAATAATAAATCTATAATATTTTTATCTGCTGAACAACTTAAAATTCAAAAAAAGGTTTTGGTTATCACTTTTGTTATAATCAAGGATTTCAGTCAAATGTTTATAGTATATAATCAAAAATATATTATTATATTACATGATCAAGTAATAATTCTCAAGTTATGAATATGAAAGATTGAGAAACATGTTATAAAATAGCTTTTCATTAATTATTTTTACATTTATATTATTGTTACTCTTAATAATTTAGCACACCAATTATATTTTTTATTTATTTTTATATAAATATGATAATAATATATTTGTGTACAGGAGAAAAATAATAAAGAAATTGTAGAAAAATTATAAAAAAAAATGGAGAAAAATTTATAAAAAAATTGAAGATAGAATTGATAAAATTAGAAGTATAATAATATTTTGATAATAAAGATATATTTAATTTTTAACAAATCACTATAATTATATTTGTCTTTATATAATTGTTATTGTTATGCCTTTTGCCTTATAATCTTTGAAATCTCAAGTATGCTTTCTTTATAAACTATAGCATATTACATTAGGACTATATCCTAAATAAAATATTTTTTTGCTATCAATTTTTCATTTTATGTTAATTTTTGAGATTGGATTGGCATATGACAATATAAAGTTTTTAATATTATTTTCATAAGATACTTTATTATTTTTTGAAACAATTGTTTTTTACTGTTTATTTCAAAATAATTTTCCTGGTTATGAGTTTTTAAACTTTCTTATTAAATTTTTTTATAAGAGAAATTACATAAAATATTTTTTTATTTAATCTGCATAATATTTTTTCTTTAATATTTTTTAAACAAATAAGCTAATTCAATCTCTATTACTATTTCTGTAGTAATTTCTAATTTTTCATTAATAATATTAGTAATATTATTATTTGTGAATTTTGAAGATACTTGTATAAAATTTTGAGTAATTATATACTTATATAAACAATTTTCAATATATGATTTTTTTAGTAATATAGAAAATGAGTCTTGTTTTTGAAATTTCTTCTTTTTAACATTTTGAATTATTTCTTTACTAATATATTTTTTATATATTGAATTCAGAAATCTATTAATTACTTTTTTTTCTAATAATTTAAATATTATATAGATTGGCAATATAAAATATTCAGTTTCTGATTTCTGGTATATGTCAGAATTAAATATATTATTAAATATATTTTCTAACACTTTAAATGAATCATTTTGAAGTATCTGTTTAGAAGTATTATTCAGATTTATTTTGGGAGAAATATTAATATTAGTTGAAAATTGTTTGATTTTCTTTATATCAGTATATACATGTTGCTGAAATTCATAGATCCTTGATGCAATTGATGCAATTATTTGACACAATTAATTGAGTCACTATTAAAACATATAAATAATTGAGTCATGACACAATTATTTTTAAGGATTTTGGGAATTGAGTCAACAGCAAAATAATTTACGCCACATGTATATATCAGCATCTAATTTAACAATAAGACTAACTTTTTCTTTATTTTCTATTCTATATTTATAAACCTGTCTTTATGTTTTTTAAAGCCTCCCTTAATTTTATATTCTTAGATTTAACTTTGATATTCTCAGCCTTGACCTTGACAATCTTACCTATATCCTTATTATATTTAATCTTAATTTCAGTATTTTTCTTTCTAAGCTCAGCAACTGTATCAATGAGTTAAGAATTTAATTCTTGTAATAAATCAATCTAGGATTAAGTATCTGACATTATTTATACAAAATGCAGATATGTTTAAAAGTTTGAGCTAAAAATTTGAATTGTTCTGAAGTGAAACGTTTGATCCCAGGTTTGCTGATCACTTGCTAAGAAAAAAATAATTACGATTATAATACATGTGAAAATCTTTATTAACCCATAATATTAATAATATATTTACATTAATAATTATAATAAAATTTGCCCATCTTAAATTTTTTACTATATAAGTATTGAACTATCTCTTATTAAATAGAGGATCCTCTGCTTTCAATCCATAATTGATTATACTAATGCCATTTTTCATTTATATATTACAAAACTAGCATTATGATAAAGACTTACCAATATGCTCTTTCCTACAATTAGTAGACACAGAATTTGATTTGCTTTTGACTTGTTGAGACTGATTCTGTCATTTAAATTTTATACATTATTGAGATCTTGTCGAGGAATAATAAGGAAAATCGACTTATGAGTATCACTTTTGATCCCTACATTTAGATTATAAATAGAAGAAAAATCCCATGAATTGTGAAAGAAGGTATTATGGACAAAGTAAATGGCACTGTGCCAGATCCCTCTGGTGATTGAAAGATTACCATGTAAAAAAGCCATGAGAAAAATATGATGACTTGATTAGACTGGAGAGGTATTACGATCTGAAGTTGCGGGAATCAACCCTCAATAGAGCTACTGTATTACCTTTTAATTACGTAATTCAAGTTTGGTTAATTTTTATTTTGATAGGCGATCGAATTTATACGTAATTGAACTATTCCGCTGTCTTCATCCAACCTTTCCACGTTAGCTGAGATAGTTGAGAAGCAAGGTAAAGAAATACTAGCATTGAAAGAGCAGTTCGCTAAACTGCAGGAATTGCAGGAATTTATTTATGAAGGTCGAACCAATTATTTGCAACGAGCTTTCAAACTGAGTGTTATTAAGAAAGGAACTGTGGTGGAATATAATACAGTGACTATTAAGGTCTCAGTAATAAATGAACGTGCAGTTCTGTTCTATAAAAATAAATCTTATGAATCTTTTTACCAATTCCTTATTGCAATTAAAGAGTTATGATCAGTCCTTTGTTTTATATTATAAACTTGAATCTAATATTTACAAATATCTATTTCAAGCCCGGACAATATAAGAAGTTGATCATTGACGGAATTTCGTATCAACCTTTTCTTAAACGTCTAAAAGATATTAAAGGTAGATATTAAGTTTTATAAAAATTTATAGGTTTTACGCACAATGCTAATATTGAATAACTTTAAAAGATTCAGCCATGTCTTTGCATGGAAGTAATACTCCACCATCAGCCATACCCGAGGAAATATTACCTGATAACTTGACGAGTAATGATGACATGCTCCTTAGCGAGATCACTACATACTTCGTTGATCGTGGTTTTAAACAAAATCTTGTCAGCTCCTTTCTGGCAAGAAATACTCGTCTTGAATTTAAGTCTAATGATGAAATTATGTTGGATTTTCTTGAAGAACGCGAGCAAATGGATCCAACAATCCTTATTGGTATTGAGGGAAATGAAGGTGTGGAGTTGGGCGAAGATAAGAAATTGCTTGTGAAATGGGGTCTTACAAAGGAGGTTGCGAACAGAATACGTGATAGTGTACATGATACCATTTGGTCTCAACGGATTTTGAAACATTGGCTACTTGATTGGGTTTACAATCTATGGGATGCAATTATGCAGATGAGGTTTGATAAAGTTTTTTATGATCCACAATTTCAACGCAATCAATGGCATAGTTATGAAAGAAAGGGTGACCCACAAATGTTTGCCTCATCCTACGAAGAAATCATCGATATCGGAGAGAATTCTTTATTGGGGTGCAACACAAAAGTCTCTAACCCAGCGGACATTAATTACAAAGCATTCTTCCATGCAACAGACTACCAAAGTGCTCAATCTATCAGTAAGAATGGAATTAAGCTTAATTATTGCAGAGCCAACCTCGACTTTGGGTCCTCTACTAGCTTTTACCTGAACCCATCACTTGATAATGTAATCGACTTCATTAAGGGGCGTGAAGGATTTTACGGAATTGTTGTATATTGGGCTGATATGGAAAAAGTAAAAAGCATGGTATATCGGGATTTAATTTCGGATGAGAATTTATGGAGAGAGGTGGTGGTTGCATCAAGGTGTGGACAATATTCAGCGGTAGATAGAGATGATTTTGTTTACGGATATCAGTTATCGAATGTAAGAGAAATTCTCACTGCATACGGTAGACCAGATGATGAGGATTCATGGCAGGATCTCATTCCCAGAGCCAGATGGTTTGAGCCTATTCGCCATTTTCAGCTTGCAATTAAGACTTATGAAGCAGTAAGGGTTATGGACAGCTGTTATGTTGGAACCATTTATTTTCATTCAAAAGAAAATCAATAAGTAATAGAATTAAAAAAACCATCTTGAAAGTGGGTAAGGACTTATGAATCAAAGGTTATGAACAGCCAATGTTATTTTCATTCAAAAAAAAGACCTTTTCGAAGTGAATCAGCGTGTAACCCTTAATGTATTGCACTAGGCGGAATATAGTCCTCCAAGGATCACTGATATATTGTACATTGCAAATATAAAACACTGCCTATGTAAATCGTAGTAATTTTAATAATAGCATATATACATGGGTAATTATTTTCGAAGGCAGACCGGAAATTTTCTGGCGTGATCTTAAAATTTGTATTATATATGTATTGTTTAAAAGTTGGATCCAAAAAAATCATATCTAGCATTTTTGTCGCCTTCAAAAATAATTACCCTAATATTTAAAAGATTTGAATATGGACCTGACTTTGCTATTTCATCTTTTACTATTGCCCAAATACCCTCAATTGGCTAAAGCTCACAATGGTAAAGAGAAGTAAAAAAAACTTGATGACCATATTGCTTTGCTATTTCAACACAAACAAATGGAATTTTTCTTTATTTTTTTATATAAGTTCCAGAAGCTCAGGTCTACGTAATTTATCTGAAAAAGAAATTTGATAGGCAGTTAACCAGTCAACTATTTCCTTTTTTTTGGTACTTGAAGTTGGGATATTTTCAATTCATTGTTTATAGTAATATGTATTATCCATATGAATATTTACTTGACCATATATTTGACTAATAGTTTCACAAAATATTGTAAAAAGATTTTCAAAAATATCTGCATTAAAATTTTTATAATAGTCAACTTGATCAGAAATAATATTAATATCTTTAACGATATCTGAAACATTGTTCCATTCTTCAACATTATTTCATTTTTGTCTTCAAGTTCTAAGAGGTTTGATTACTGGGTTCCAAATATAAACAGAGTTTGGTACAAGCTTGCCATATATTTTGTTGATATCATCATTTTGAAAAACTATAATTGTTTCAAAAATTATTAACAATGGATCATGTTCTAATATTAAAACAATGCTATGATTAAAGATGGGTTCCTAAAGTATTTAGTATATAAAATTTATGTCCCTTTACGTCCACGTCCCCTAGAGGACATAATTTCTAGCTCTTTATTTCAATAGGGATATAATTCCAGAAATGATTTGTATAGATGCTTAAAACTATAAAGAACCTTTATAGGTAGTTTTTTTTTATTTCTTAATATAGAAATGAAATTTTTAATAATAAGGAACATTTGAATTATATTCTCAAAAATAATTTAGGGACCCATCTTTAGCCATGATAAGGTATCCATGTTTTTTGTGATGTGTGATATAAATGACAATATGATTCATTAAGAAAAACTTCTGGAAGATGTAAAATATCATTTTTGCCTTCTAAGTTAGTAAAATGATAATGAAAATAATAATAGTGAAATACAACATTATTTGGTAATTCATGGTGAATATTTTTTTATTTTTCCTGGCCATAATAATATTCCAACTAGTGTAATATTCGAAGAAGTTGCCACTTGGAAATTGTATACCCTTGTTCAGAAAGAAACTGCCATAATATAGATGTGGAAAGAAGTTGTCCTGTTTATTGTTATTCATAATATAAGTGTTCGAAAGTAATATCATATTTTCATCTGGTTGTAATTTTGATCACCCAATATTTTGATAATCTGAAAATGTGCCATTGTTGTATCAGTTCCAATCAGACAATATAATCCCAACTATACTTTCAGAAACTCCTGTAACCAGAGCAACTTACTTGCATAATGTTATTTTTGATTTTGCTTATCGATAAATATAGCCTTAGAAAAATATCTGTAGGTGTTTATTATCATTCATTTTTCATTCTCTATTAGAGATATGGAACTTCAGTTTATTTGAGAACTAGACATGTAAAAATTATAAATTTTGCAAAAAAAAAATTTGTTTAAATATAATTTTTTCATTATATGAAAATAGGTTTGTTTGGTTCACTATATATAAATTTGATATTATCAAAATTAAAACCTTTTATATCAAGATATGAATCTTTTTGCACCAGACCATATTAACAAAGTATATAACTTGATAAAAAAAAATTGGAGGATGTTTTAGAATTAAAATACTATAAAGTATAATAACAATACTAATAAAACTTAACTTTGACAGAAATAATCAATTATTATATATCATGGTCTCTCAAAAAGTTACAGTCCAAATATCAAAATAGATTAAGGTAACACAATCTCTCCTCTCTTATAGTATATCTATTATAATCCTTTTATATGCAAAATAAAAGAAAAAACCTGAAATATATGATCATTACAAGATATTCAATAACAAATCTGAAAATATTTCAAAAAACCAAGCTGAAAATATCTTTGATTACAGTACATGAATTACTAGTTGCAAGAAAAACTTAGAAAAAATAGGAAAAATTATTACATTATTTACAAATTTACTCAAAAAAATATATAGTATATTATAAATAAACAACAAGTATATATACTAAACCATATACTCATATTAGCAATAGATTATCTGCTTCAAGATATGATACTAATACAAAAAGAATATAACAAGCACAATAGCAAAATATTAATACTTATAAAATGCTTAACAACAACAAGAAAACAATGATTTGCAGTATTTTTAATTAACCATAAAGATATATTACTCTTGATAAACTTATAATATATAATTTAGAACCAACAGTTATCACAGATTCCACTCAAATTAAAACAATTATCAAGAATTACTTCAGCATATAAATGAAAGTTAAGAAAGTTAAACCATTCTCCCAATATCTCACCTGGTTACAAGAGTATGAACCAAAGCTATATATCTTAACACACTAGTATAATAATCTCCTTAAACCAATCGATTTTCAGGAACTCAAAGAAACCATCTTATCCAGATCAAATATATCAGCACTGGGACCAACAGGAATCCCATATATAGCTTTCAAAAAAATGTTTCAACCTATACTACAATTCCTACTAGATCTTTTTAACAATATAATAATATTATTCCACATTCTGATAGAATGGAAACAAGGATCCATATATCCCATTTCAAAATCCAAAAACTGAAAAAACAATCTAAACATAATCAGACCAATTATACTTCTAAAGGCAATAAGGAAAATCTTCACAAAAATCTTAAATAACTGACTGGTAAACATACTCATAAAATACTAGATTCTATCACAACACAATTGGATGGCTCTTCCAGAATCAAGCACTCAAGAACCCATTCATATCCTATAAGCAATAATAGAAGATGCAAAGCAATCCAATTAACAATTATATATCTTAAGTCTGGACATGATCAAAGTATATGACCTAGTATATGTTCCCAGACTTATTTCAGTAATGGAAAAATTCAAAATTCCTATTAACTTTATACAAATATTTTTTAATATTTTCAATAACAAAAACAATACAGTTATTATATCATTTGACCCTACAGATCTATATTAAGTTTATGATAAAATAGATCAAGGAAATACAATTTCATTACTACTATGGCAAATTTTTTATAACCCTCTAATTACACAATTAGCCAATAGCAACCTAGAATATACAATCCAAATATCTATACAAATAGATATAAAAGAAACTTTCCAGCTGGTAACACAATCCATATTATGTATAGCATATATGGATGACACTATACTCATCAGCAATAACAAAACAAATCTTTAAAACCTTAGTAACATTTGTAACAAGTTCTTTATACTCAATAATATTTATATCAATATTAACAAATCATATCTTATCTCAATTAATAAAAAACAACAACAGTTTTCTATATAACTATAAAACCAAATCATTCATCTTTTACTAAAAAATCAAGCAATCAGAGTTTTGAGTGTCTGATACAATGGCAAAGGAAACAAAAAACATCAAGAAAATCTTGTTTATACAATAACAGACCAAATAAGTTACATTCTCAAAAAAAAGATCATCACAGATAAACAACTTCACTATATTATCAATCATGTCTATATCCTTAAAATCACATATCTTCTCAATGTCATAATACTATCTATCAACACATATCCCTTAAACTGTATTGTAGGCAAATTTGCCTACAATTTTTTTATTAACAAAATTATTTTATATTTTCTGATACATGTTATTCTTTAATCATGCATTCTTTTACTATATATTTTAGCTCATTTAAATCTTCAAAACAAGGTTAATCTTTTTCTTAATGGTTAAAGTACAAATAATATAATAATATACTTTTCAAAAATACATTACAAAAATAAGTGTCAAATTTGCCAAAAATTGACCTACAAATTAAGGGATAACAAAATTAATAGTAAAATTAACAAAGTCATTAAATACAAACTAGATTGGCAAATACAACATTTAACAACACAATCTATAATTCACTGGAATATGGTTTGTTCAATATTTGGAACTGATAAATAATTTATCATGGTACAAATTGAAACCATAGAATTAACTTATCAAATTATACTGAAAAATTAATTTAAATATAAACACAAGAAACTCAAAATATATACTGATTAACAAAACTCTTTATCTCACTATTTCTTATACACCCATTTCTCTCCAAAGGCAAAAGCTTAGCATATAATATCATTTTTCTTTTGAAACAACATGGCTTTACTTTTTCAACACTACACATTATCACTCCTAAAAAAATAAATATTATTATTGAGGAAACAATGGATAAAAAATGGTTTTCCAAATACAGAACACAACTTCAAAAAAACCAAATTCTATTCCTAGGCCAATGCCTTAATACAAATAATATATACTTATTTCTATAGGTAGAAATTACCAATCCAATCAAAAAACCAAACAAAAAAACTTCTACATGGTTTTAAAAACTCGAAACAAAACTTCTAATCCACCCAAAAACATTATAACAGATTTTACAAACAAAAATATCAGAAAATGTTTTTCATAGATATATTCAAATAACTTTATAACAAAAATCAAAAATCAAATGGATAGCAGCAGAATACAACAATCAAATAATAATAGG